CAACAAAGCATCAAGAGGAAACATTATCTTCTAATCGATTGTCTCTATTTGCTTTCTCACAGACGAATGCGAAGTAAATCTATAAAGTGTACCTTAAAAATAACATTAAAAAAATTTATTTATTCATTAGCTGATTAAATCAAATTAACATTTACTCCTGAATGATAATCAAAAATCTAGTTTTAATTTTCAAATACATATAAGGTAGTTCGCACAATAAGAAATACTATTCTGATTTGACTATTAGAAAAAATGAGAAAGGAGTTCGATTAAAACCTGTCCAATAGTTTGGACAAATAAAAACAAATTTTTCTTATTCTTTTTTAATGAGTACGCAAACATACACTCTCAACATGTTTTATTAGTTTAAATATAAAACTATCAAAGTATATTTCATTCAGTAAAAAACAACTAATGAAGAACTGTCTGCCCAATTGCAAAGATTTCAAGTTAAATCTCTAATTATGTCAACATTGGCACTATCAACGATTTTCTAAGGCAATCGTTTTTCTATCCCTCATGGCTGCAACATAACAATTTTTCCACATTCTTGTCAGATTTAAAAATCTTTCATATATTGAACATTTTCACAAGCTTTTCTCTACAAATATGTGCTTATATATTTTTTACAAAAATATGAATCTCTTCGATTTTCTTTTAAAACTGATTGACGCCTAAGTTAAATACACACAAAAAAAAACAAGTAAAAAATTGATTTTCAAGAAATCTATATTCTACAGTCTTCTCTTCTGAAATTTAAACATCATACCATATCTTTTAGTCCACGTAATGAAAATCAAAATAAGATTGGTGTTAAATTATTGATTTTAATAACATTAAAATTTTATGATATAGATTGTGTACAAATATATACTAATGTTACTGTGGATATATGATTGAATCTATATATATATATGATCTATCTGTAGGTGAGGAGATTAGATTCTCAGTAATTTGCTTTTGAACATAGAAGGTCTTGATATTTGCACAGGTACTTATAGATCGTAGTCTACATTACTATGGGCAAATAGTTAACTAACCAGCGATGAAAAAGATCCTTCTTAAGTACTAGTTCATTTTTGATATGCGCGAACATCTTTCTGATTTTGTGTTCAAGAATGCTCTATCAGACCTTGCCTCTCGATGGAAATAATTGTCTCAAAGAGCATTAAAAATATATCTTCTAATATAAACAATATCGTGATAACTTGAAGAAGGTTCAAGTCTAGATATTAAACCATGTTTGGGACAATGCTACTATTCGTTACTCAGTGTTAGAGCTAAGGCTTTTCCAAATATTGTTTTCGAGATATTCATAGAGTCAATACCTCAGATCATTTATAAACATCAGTTCATGTAAGTTTATTTTGAAGATTAAGTCATTCAAATCTCGAAAGCTTTTATCGACCCCTTATGATTTTTATATTCGAATTCGACTGTATATGTTAAGTCGCTATTTTTTTAAACTTTTCGATCAATTCATTAGAAACGAATATCAAACTGTTTTCGATTACGCTTGTAGAGAATATGGTGATGAGTCTAAGCCCAAAAAAATCAACAATATTAAGTGAACTCATATCCAAACAAACGTCCGAGTCTTTTTTCGAGCCTTTCACTTTGTTCTGTTGTAACAGATGAAATTTTAGTAATGCCTCAGATTATAATCATCAAGAAGAAATAACGAACCGATTCTGAATGAACTTTTTAAAAATACTTTTCAATTTATATATATATATAAAATAGTTTCCAATAAAATGATTAGCTCTCAATAAATTATCTTTTAAGTAGTTTTTCAAAATTTCTTTCAATTACTACTCATTTTATTGACACTTTTTCAAAAAATATCTTGTGAAATTCTCTACAAATGTCAAACAAGAATATCTTCAAACGTATCAGTGGAAAACTATATTTGATTATTGGTGTTATGTCCGAAAAAATTTCGCTCTCAACGTGGCTTTGTTTTTAAATTCATTCTTTCTCCTTCGATTAAACAGACTTCAGATTATTGTAAAATAGGCTTCCTATGATACTAAGTAGGTTGTTTCTAATAGAATTTAGAAAAGATGTTCAAGCAATTTTGTGACACTTCTCAAAGTCAGCCTTTTCGAGATTATAGATTGAAGCCAATGATTGCTTTTGTTACTTACACCACTCACCGTAGAAAAAAAGTTTCCACAAGTTCTCCCTTGTCTCAAATGTAGATAAAAAGAATATATTCCTTCAACATAGTAATGAACTTGAAGCCGTATAAAACTGAAAATCCTGTTTAACTAAATCAAAATTTTAGGGAGTTTGTATTGACGATTCTTAAAATTTAAATAAAGGAACACTTACAAGATGTTTTCTTTGGAAAGGTATGTGGAATGGAAAAAATACTCTTTCAACTGATAAAACTTTTCGTGGTCTACAAAATGTAATATTTGAATTTTTTTTCTTCATTAATAAATAACAATGGAAAATTGAAACAATAAGAAAGCAAACTGCGAAATGAGCATAACGAGAGTTTAGTATTACTAGTCAGATATAATTAGTTTTCCATTTATCTTATTGAAGGGATACTGCTAAGCGGTTTTGTAAAGAATATTATGCACTATGAATTGAAAAAATATGTGCGTCAAATTGTCAACAAGTGGATCAATGTCTGAAATATTTAAAAGGTGATTCTTTTAATAGGTTGCCTATTCGATTCTGTACATGCATTTTCAAGATTGTTCATACATATTTTAACCGATAAAACACGGGCTAACATTTGTATAGGAAAGTTTGATTAGCTAGATAAACTATTATTTCTTAACTATGACAGTACATATGGAACTTCAACCTATTTATGTGACGGAATTTCAATATTGTCAATTACTATAATCTTAATACAGCATATCGAATGAAAATAATATTTTATGAAATATTATTATTATATTGTAAGTGTGATTAGAAAGAATATTTTCTTGCTTACGTGAAAATCGTTGTTGAAGTAGCAAGTGAATCAAATATTTCTTTGTCTTGCGATTGAATTCAACGCTTTTAACCCGAAAGCAAACACCTGGTGTAATAAGTTCTTCTTCTTCTTCAGAATACTCAGATAATGGACTGAGATCAGCAATAAAGGCATACATCACTTCCATAATGAATAATGTGTTTCCAAATTCTTCGGCTTTTTTACGATTGCGACTACAAGATGTATAGGCTTGAAATGACCCAAATGCCTCTTTATCTTTGGCCATAGCTTCATATTTAGCGATCTGTTCTTTCGTCAGTTCGGCTCCTCGATAAAGTGTCTTTTTAATTGTCACTTTTTGATTAAATGGATCATCCCAGAGTAGTAAACAGAATGGACCTAATGTACGAACTTTACTTCGCCATACTTGTTCATGTCCTTTATCTCCAACTAATCTCATTGCTGCATTCAATGTTTTGTAGAGGAAACTTTCCAATGTGTAAAGATAAACACAAAGTTTCCATACTTCCTCCATACCAGCGTTCTTCTTTTCTCTTAGCATTTTAGCTAATTTTTCGGCTTCTCGTTGTTTTCCAATATGTTTTCCTTCTTCAACGATACCGCAAGCAGCTTTTTCAATAAGCATCGGAATCATGTTTGGCTTTTTTGAAGGTAAATCATCTGGTTGAAGTTTCAGGTCTCTTCTGACTTCGATGACAAAGGGACTTGTCCAACCGTATTGACCACCAAACGAACGTTCAGTACTAACAGGAAGGTCCATAAAACGTGTTTCTCGTAGATGTTTGTCTTGTCGCTCGCGCACGACTCGTTCTATTGGTCTTTGCCTATAATCATCAGTGTTCGATATTTGCAGATTACTTTCGAAATCAATATAATAACCATCCAATAAAGCTCGTTGTTGTTTGCTTTGAAATGCTTCTTCGATGACTAAGTTTTCTAAATCCGAATAATGATTCCATATGGTTGGCTCGGATGATGAAAATGGATTTGGATTTGCTTTCCACATCCATTCAACATGTTTTAAAGAATTATTTGGTGTTGCAGATGCATAGGAGGCCATAATAAACAATGTTTTTCTCTTGTTTACAATATGGTAGATCGCTTTATTAATCAACTATTATTTTTATCTGAAAGCGTGAAAACAAACAATGATAATTGAAAAATAGTAGAATAAGAAAACCTCACTCTTGAAGTCTTGTTAAATATTGAATTTTTGTAAAACTCTTTCAAGTCAGAGAAAATATTCTGAAATCATCGGAAATTTCTGTATGTTTCCAAGAAAAAAATGACGAAAATCTACATATTTAGAATTCTTAAAATCCGTTGTTCTCTTCTTCGAATTGAGTATATTCTACTTATTGTCCTTCTTCATCATTTTTTTTCCAAAATTTTAAATTTTACACTATATTTAAATAAGTAAATCAAATAAGACTTTTCTCATATATTTTTGGAAGAGTATGAAATTCGAGCGATATTTGGAATAATCATTATTATTTAAATTTATTCTTGGTTTTTTTTTATCGAGGAATCTTTTCAGATCATTAATGTTATTCAATAGAATAACACAATATTAATAAATAGATGTTGATTACACAACGCAAAACAATATATAGATAAGTTTTTTTTATCAATTATCAAGGAAAGACTATTTTCAACTTTTTATTCTTATTTATTTGAAATTTTATTTTCATTCAGATATAGTCTAACGAATGAATCGAAAAAGTTTAAAACAAAATATTTAGTCATTTCTAGTTTGGTTGGACTCTTCGCAGAACAATTAATATTGTTGATTTGGATATTGAATTCAATGGTCTTCGAAATATGAACTTCACTATTATTTTGTAAGATTTTCTTCAAGAATAAAAAAGTAATCTTTAGAAGACTCCGGAAAAAAAACTTTTACATGAAAAATTTTGCTGTTCCCTAGACTGAAAGGCTAGGGTCTAGAAACCGTAATTCACCTGTGTCTGTTTGTCCGTCTGTATGTCTGTCTGTAACAAACGCTTGGCACAAATGACCATTTTTATGGCACAAATGACCATTTTTATGGCACAAATGACCATTTCTGTGGCACAAATGATCATTTTTATGGCAGAAATGACCATTTCTATGGCACAAATGACCATTTTTATGGCACAAACGGCCATTTCTATGGCACAAACGATCGTTGTTATGGCACAAACGACCATTTTTATGGCACAAATCACCATTTCTATGGCACAAATGACCATTTTTATGACACAAATGACCATTTCTATGGCACAAATGATCATTTCTATGGCACAAACGACCATTTTTATGGCACAAATGGCCATTCCTTTGGCATAAATGACCATTTCTATGGCAGAAACGACCATTGTTATGGTACAAATTACTATTTACATGGCACAAATTACGGTAAAAATACAACCATCTGCTTGTCATCATTCCGTCAGTCTAGGGCCCAGTGAATCGACATTCCATGTCGATGAACATTACTTGTGTATGTTCATATTTTCCTTATTGAGCCTTGAAATCTCAAGAAAGAATGTTCACATTAGCGACGTGCGCGTTGGTAATTAAAGGAACTTTTTATCGTCAAATTTTCGTCTTATTTGTTGCTATATGATATTTCGTATAAGCAACGTTTCATTTCTTCATATTCATGTGAGAAGAGCAATATAAAGTCGAAACTATCGTGATGTATCATTTAATTAGAGAAGACACGGTCATGCCAAAAATGATCTTCAACAGTGATGGCACACTTGATATAAAAATCGGCGTCTATTGGGCAACAGGAAACTGTGTATCTTTTCCTTAGAATAGAAAAACAAAAACATCTGTGTTATAAACTTTTTTTCTGCCTGCTACGATAACACTACTGTTGTAATATGCTTGCCTTTTGCCTATAGTGCGATGCAAGGTTTCTGTGCTGTAATATATGCTTACTTTTGCATGCACTGTGTGATAAATTTTGAGAAAAGTAAAGAACGTCATTTTTATTCCTTATATTTGGCAAAGCGGATTCATGAGAAAAAGTCCCCGATACTGTACGAGAATAAAGTATGAGCCATAAGCAAGATGTTCACGAAAAACATATGATAATACCGTTAACTTGCCAGAAGATATCGAAAAAACAAAGCCATCTGTTCAATGTACGATTATTTTTGAATACCGATGTAGATATTGTTTAAACAGTGGAAAGCCATTAGTTAGTTTCGATTATTTTTTGGGCCTACGATTAACTTGCGATCATTTTTCATAGAAACTATACTGATACAGCATAAAATACTGACAATTAATCGGATGATAATGGGCTCGCCGGTCGTCCCGGTCATTATTAAGATTAACTAGACCATTAACGGCGATTAGTTCTCGTTTTCGCTGCTGCTTCACTGTGGGCTCAATGCAAAATAGTCGCAGTTAACTATCGGCCGAAAAGAAAAGAATAACCGTAACTAACCAACGGATGAATATGGGTATGAATGAAAAGAACTCTCATTAAAAACCTGAATCTACATTCACATGGCACACAAACACCCACCCCCCCAGAGAAACTCACTGTGATAACTGTCGATTTTAGATATAAGA